TCCCACCCGGGCAGTCGCGGCGCCGGCGGCTCGGCGGTGAGTGCTCTCTCCAGGTGCGCGGCTTGTGCCTGGGGGACGGGGAGGCCGTGGGCACCGAGGGTCCCGACCGTGGGGACTCGGACACCTGGCTTGGAGCCGTCCTGAGCCCTGGGCTTGGGGAGGGGCTGACTCGGTTTCCCCTGGGGGAGTCCTGAGGTGTAGATGGGCAGTAGAAGGAAAGGGGGCATCTCGAGGTTGGGGACCCTCTGGCGGGCTGTGACTACAGAGGATGGGGAGTCTTGGGGGCTTGGGCAGAACTTCCAGGCACCCATGAGCCTTTGAGGTCTGAGGAGAGGCTGTGACTTGGGGGTCGCAAGGGCTGTGGAGGGGGAACCTGCAGAATAAGTCCTAGCTGGGGAAGGAGGAGACCCAGCTTCAGGTCTCAGCGGGNGGGGAGGTTCAGGAGTTTGCTTTTGTGCTTGTCAAGTTTGAGATGCCCATTAGGCATCCAAGTGATGTTGAGTAGGCACTTGGTAAGAATTTAACGGGGAGGTTGGAGCTGGCAGTAGAATGTTGGGCAGCATGAAAAAGCTGTTATTTAGAGCCGTAAGAGCAGGTGGGCCCACTTAGAGAGCGAGTGATAGGGAGAAGAGAAGTCCAACCATCAAGTTCTGGGGCCCCCAGCATTAGGAACCAGCAAAGGAGACAGAGAAACAGCCAGTGAGGTGGGAAGAAAAAGAGTCCGGGTGTTCTGGATGGCGGTGAGGAAAGCACTTCAAGGAGGAGGAGGAGGGAGCAATTAGGACCAATGCCTTTGGCAGAGCAATCGCCATGTGGGCTGGGAACTGACAGCTGAGTAACACGAGGGAGGTCCGCTGGTGGCCTTGACAAAGCAGTCTGGGGGAGAGGACCCTATTGGAGGGGATGGCAGGGGAGAACTTGGAGCAGCAGTACAGGCAACAGACAAGGAGACCTGCTGTAAAGGGGGCTGAGAAATAGGATTGGAGGGCTGGCCCTGTGGTTCACTCGGGAGAGTGTGGCGCTGGTGGCGCTGTGGCAGCGGGTTTGAATCCTATATAGGGATGGCAGGTTCGCTTACTGGCTGAGCGTGGTGCGGACCACATCATGCTGAGGGTTGTGATCCCCTTACTGGTTAAAAAAAAAAGGATTGGAGCCATAAGGGGAGGGGAGTCAAGAGAGGGCTTTGCTTTTACTTATGATGGAGAAATTACAGTATGTTTGTGCACTAGTGAGAACTGTTCTCTTAGAGAGAGAAGCTCAGTGAAGGGGAAGGAGAATGGAGGACGGTTGGGGGAAGGGAAAGGGATGGATCCGGTGCCACAGGGGAGGCTTGGCCCCACCTAGGACCCAGGACAGTTCAGAAATTGGGCTTTCCTGGGCCTCCGTCTCCTGTCTGTAGGGGGCCAGTCGGCTGAGATTCCAGCACCTAATCAAAGCAACTGGCTCTTGGCCCCAGAGAAAGCAGGCTGGCTATGGTCTCAGGAAGGAAGGAGGTGTCAGGGCTCAGGCCTGGGCTTGGGGATAAGGGAGGGCCCATGTGGGTCACCCCTTGACCCTCTGATTTAGCAAGGCAGTGCCCCTTTCTCTGTATGGGCCTCACCTTGGAGAGGGCAATAGTGACTCTGAAGTTGTAGTAATTGAAGTAGAGAAGAAATAGCAATGGAGATAGATTGATGTATTTAGTCGGAAGAGGGGAGGTCTGACCAGGCAATAAAGGGGCAAGAGGTAGGATTTTAGGGACAGTTTTATGAAATAGGTGATGAATGAACATCTCTGTGTTTTCTGTCTCTCTACCAATTTAAACTGAAGCAGGAGAAACTTAAGCTAGATATAATGAGGAACTTCCTGAACTGGTGAACTTCCTGAGCTGGTTAGTCAGGACAGCACCAAAGCCAGGTCCTTCTTCCCAGATGTTTAAGCTGAGATAGGGCAATGCCTACTCAAAGACAGGGGGCTGGCTAAATTGGTCCTTGGGGAGTCTCCCTGCTCTGAGGTTTCTGGAAGAAGGCCCGGGAAGAGATGGGACTTTCCAGCTGCTGGTGTGAGGACAGAGTGCCAAGCCTTGTGGCTTGGGCTTGCCTTTCCCTCTTGGTGTCCACAGAACCCTAGTGTCACTAGCTGGTGTGTATGACTTGAGCAACTGTCAGGCTGCCTCACTTACCTGCAGCTTGTCCCCTTGTGGGCGAGCACATCTGGTGGTGTGTCTCATGTCCCCAGTGGGGTCTTTCAGTGAGGTCATGGTGGATTCACCAGGCTTTGTGCCAGAACTGCTGAGAATTACCTGGCTCTGGTGGCCTGGTTGGCCAACTCTTGCTTCCGTTCCATCCTTTCGGGATTTTCCCTGGAGGTGAGGTCTGTGGACAGATCTAGACCTGCCAGTCCCGTGCCGCTGGGCTCTTGTCTTCCTGCTCAAGACCTGCCCACAGATGGCTTTGCCATGCCTGCTGCCCCAACCCTGATGAGCTTTGGCGGGTGGTTTGTGTGCATGTGTGTTTGTGTCTAGGCTCTCCTGATGAGAAGGAAGGAGTAGGTGTCCCTCCTCAGGCAGCCTCTGGGTAAATGGAGCAGGCATTGTCCTACTGCAGCTTAACTTTCAGCCTTCTTTAATTCCTGGCTGTGCATATACTTGCCAGTCCTGGGGTCAGAGGGAAAGTGCTGACCCATTTCTGGGCTGTTCTCTGAGGAGGGTGGATTGTTAGTTATTTTCCCCAGGATCTGGACAAGGGTTGCCGTGGGGGCTGCTGTTGTATTCTTGGCTGGCATTTCCACAGCTGAGAACCACTCCAGGGTCAAGCCCAGAGCTCATCCTACCCACTTCTTGTCCTCTCCTCCCCCACCTTCCCTTCCCCCCACCCCCTGGCCCTTGGCTGGTCTGCTTTGATGCGGGCACAGACAGGAGGAGACCTGTTTGGCTAGGGAGAACTACTTCAGTTCCTGGTTTACAGCAGCTTCTGCCATGGAGACAGAAGCCCTCACTCCCAAGATGCTAGACACAAAGGTAACCTCACTGCCTCAGTTTCCCCATCTGACCAGCACAAGGCCTCCAGTCTGTATATTGGCAGCTTTCTGAGTTGGAGATTTCTCCTTTTGTTTACCTTGGCTGCCATATGAGGATGGACACAGAGTGTTCCAGCCTCTCCCCTCCCTCAGTGGATTTTTGATTCATGAACGCTCCCATGGTGCCACCTCCAGTCTGTATATTGGCAGCTTTCTGAGTTGGAGATTTCTCCTTTTGTTTACCTTGGCTGCCGTATGAGGATGGACACAGAGTGTTCCAGCCTCTCCCCTCCCTCAGTGGATTTTTGATTCATGAACGCTCCCATGGTGCCACCGCTGTGCCCAGCGCTGGGCCAAGATTAGGGATGCCAGGATGAGCGAGACTCAGGCTCTAACATAGGCCAAGCAGGGAGTGAGACATTAAAGCATCCAACAAGAAAAATACAAAATCCCCAGGCTTCTTGGTGATGGATGCCAGGATGAGCGAGACTCAGGCTCTAACATAGGCCAAGCAGGGAGTGAGACATTAAAACATCCAACAAGAAAAATACAAAATCCCCAGGCTTCTTGGTGATTGCTCCCTTGTGTGTCTCGGAATGTCCCCGATTTATAAAAGGGAGCAGACTTTCCTCTTCTTTTTCCATGGCTACGCCCTTTCACTTTCATTTTCTCTGGGCAGTTCACCAGCCTTTGTGTCTGGACCCTGTGACAATTATAGAACTGACTAAATTGAGAGATTTTCTCTGCTGCTCAGGAACCTTCCCAGGCCTAGAAGCTCCTGGAGGCCACTTCCCCTCAAGTGCCCAGAACCCAGAGTCTGCGGGGTGAGCCCATAGTAAGTCATTGACAACAGCGGCAGCTGTAATGCGTGGTGGTGAGGGCTGGGACAGAGGTGGGGGCCTAAGGGCAAGTGCGCGGGGAGCGTGTTGACAGGGACAATGCACTAGTAAGCTTTGAACTAACTTAGTTTGCACTGTGATTTTTCACTTCACCTTGATTGCGATCTTTATGGCAATGTTGTGGGTCTACCCGTTGAGGTAGCAGTGGATTATATGCACAGGGATGGGCCCAGGCCCGTACGGTGAATGCTATAAATATAAGGGAGTAAAAGGCTTGCATTCTGGGGTTGTAGTCCTTGGGTTCAAATTCTAGCTCCACTTTGTCTAGCTGTGACAGTTGTACAAATCACTTAGCCTCTCTGTACCTCAGTTTCTTCATGTGTAATATGGGGCTGATCGTAGTGCCTACTTCAGAGTGGTTGGGAGGGTTAAATGAATTCATACAGGAAAGCGCTTAGAATGGTGCCTGGCACGTAGTAAGTGCTTAATAAACAGTAGCTATTACTGAAGCTGCTGTGGCCTGAATCTAGCCAGCATGGAAGAGCCCTCTCACCCTGCCTCGAAGAGATTGAATTCCCTGATCCCTTGGGAGACAGGTGCTCCTAATATTAGCTCAAGCCTTTCAAAACTTCTTAAGCCAGGGATGAAGCATAGATATGTGCTGACCAGATGGGAAAACTGAGGTAGCAAGGTTACCTTTATGTCTGGCAGCTTGGGAGGAAGGGCATCTCCACAGTGGACACTGCTGTAAATCGGGAACTAAAATAGTTCTCCTTGGCCAAGCAGTTCTCCCTGTGCCCACATTCAAGCAGAGGAGCCAAGAGTGGGGTTGGGGGAGTGGGGGAGGAGAGGACAGGAAGGGGTAGGATGATTTAATTCTTGGCTGCTTCAAACTCTCTGTGGGGCCGTGAGCTGGTTTCCTGCTTTCTCCGGGCCTCAGTTTGCACATCTGTACAATGCAGAGCTTGGGTTGGATAATGTCTGAGGGCAGAACGGTGGCTGACTTGGACCTGGGGAGGGGCTGACCTGCTTGGCTTCTGGAGAAGTCCTGTACTGACCTTGCTCTCCTCCCCAGGTTGTGAAATGTGCTCCCAGGAGGCTTTTCAGGCACAGAGGAGCCAGCTGGTGGGGCTGCTGGTCTCGGGGTCCCTGGAGGGCTTTGAGAGCATCCTGGACTGGTTGCTGTCCTGGGAAGTCCTCTCCTGGGAGGACTATGAAGGCCTCAGCCTCCTGGGCCAGCCTCTCTCCCACTTGGCTAGGCGCCTCCTGGACACTGTCTGGAAGAAGGGTGCTTGGGGCTGTCAGAAGCTCATTGCAGCTGTCCAGGAGGCCCAGGCTGACAGCCAGTCCCCCGAGCTGCATGGCCACTGGGACCCGCACTCACCCCACCCAGCCCAGGACCTGCAGAGTCACCGGCCAGCCATTGTCAGGAGACTCTACAGCCACGTGGAGGGCGTGCTGGACCTGGCGCAGGAGCGGGGCTTTCTCAACCAGTATGAAAGTGATGAAATCAGGCTGCCGATCTTCACGTCATCCCAGAGGGTAAGGCACTCGTGCTGGGTCAACAGAATTCACAAGAAAAGGGTGCTTAGTCACCACGACTGATTTGTCCTTGTGAAGTCAGCCGTATGGGGTAACTTGGTCTGTGGGATTTTCCCTATAAAGGTAGTCAAGCAGGTAAAGATTGTACTTCATTATTGGCAATATACCACTTCTGCTCAGGGGAAGTGTTGTGTAGTGGCCAAGACTTGGATTCCGGAGCCGGAATGAGGCAGATTCAAGGTCAGCTCCGTGTGACTTCAGGCTTCTCTATGGAACTTTCCATCCTTAGTCCCTCCTGTCTCAGTTTCTACATCTATAAAACATTGATAATAGTTGTATAGTACATATCCTACAAGGTTCTTGGGAAAATTCAGTGAATCAATTTGTGTAATGCTTAGAATGGTGTCTGGCACATATTAAGTACCCATTAATGTTATCATTGGCTGCTGTTATTTCTGTTATGAGTGATATTCTGTATTTATACACATTTATAATTTTTATTGCTGTCTGTTTTAAATGAACAGCTCAATAGATCATAACACTTCATTATATTAAATCTGTATTTAATAATTAATTTAGCTACATACTAATATACTAATACTACATACTAATATAGTTTAAATGTCCACCTAGGCTTTCTTATATGAAATTGCATTACATCACAGATGTTCAGAGTTGTGATATAACTGCCCCTGAAAATGCAATGATTCAACAGAGAACACAAGGACAGAAAAGTGTCTACTGGGCATTTTTGAAACTCTTTGTTTTATTTTCTTCCCAACAGTGATCCTCAGGCCTCCAGTTGAGGCAGATGGAATAGTTATTAACATCCCACTTTATAGATCAGGAAATTGAGGCCCAGGAAAGTGGTTTGGTCCACAGTAACTAATCAGTGCCGGACCTACGGCCTTCACTCATTCATTCATCATTAATTTATTCATTAATTTATTCAGCAGAATCTATTAGATGTTCACTACGTGCCAGGCTCTGTCTTAAAATCTGTTGTGTTCAGAGTGTTTTGCATATAGTAGATACTTGATAAATACTTGTTGATGAAATAAATTAATTATTAAATGAATGAATAAACCAGAATTGTATTGCAGTGTTAGGATGGGCTAGTTTGGGGGAATTTCTAGTTTTTATTTTTGTCTATTTTTTAAAAATAAATTTGGTGTCCAAGTGAGTGTAGGTAAGCCTAGGTTGAGATTGATGAAATAAACTAATTTGTCTTCAAGGCTGATCTAAAGATGGCTCAAGGTAGCAAAGTATTTACAGAGCAGGCATGGTGTAGTCCCTTCTAATAAGTGCACATGAAACCTCCAATTATACCCTGAGCACCACCTCCTTGAGCCTGGCTCCAAGGGGTTTATAGAAGACATATTAGTTATTATAACTACTTTGGTGTCTCTTATGATCTGTTGAGGAGATCAAATCAACCCACCCGAGAAGTTACAAGATTGTGTTTTGTCATCTTGGATCAAGCATTCAGCAGTGTGGTCTGGTCTGGATGCTCTGAGGGTTTTGGAGAAGGTAGCCTAGATCCCTAGGGCCCAGAGGAGACAGGGCATGAATAGAGGAAGTGTTTGGATTGGGGAATAAGAGAAAGTGGGATAACTAATGGATCAAAGAAGAAATCATAATGGAAATCAGAAAACATTTAGAACCAAACAATAATGAGAATATTATTTATCAAGATCTATGGGATGCAGCTAAAGCAGAGCATAGAGGGAAATTTATAACTTTAAATGCTTAGACTAGGAAAAAAGATAAGCTGAATTTTAATGATCTAAGAATCCATGTTAAGAAAGGGCTAAGTAGACAGCAAAAGCACACATCGAGGGCTGGGACTGAGCTGAGTGGGTGGAAGGGATGGTGGACAGCAGATCTGAGGATTGTAGGAGATTACAAAGGGACTGCACTGCCTGAGGTTTGAGTTTTCAGAATCCAACCCTCTCTGAATCTTCCTTGAGCTCTGAATTTTATGATTCTCTGATTTGGTAGACTTCAGTGGCTGAATTTCTGATTCAGTGCTGAGGATTGTAGGAGATTACAAAGGGACTGCACTGCCTGAGGTTTGAGTTTTCAGAATCCAGCCCTCTCTGAATCTTCCTTGAGCTCTGAATTTTATGATTCTCTGATTTGGTAGACTTCAGTGGCTGAATTTCTGATTCAGTGTTGGGGGGCACTTGTGGTATATCCAATTAACATGTCCCTCCAATTGATCTTTTAATTTTCTACAAAGAAGTGGTTGTCATTTATTACAGGTTGGGTACTGAAAAATGCTGCAGAATGAAACGAAATTCAGGTTAAAGAATTAAATCTCTAAAATATCCATTGCTCCTATTTCCTGAGCGAGTGCCTGTTTGCCAGGCACTATACTCAGCCCCTTTTCTGTATTATTTCCTAACTATGAAGAAACTGCCCAAATCACCCCTCTCGGAAGTGGCTGAGCTAGAATTTGAATTCAGGCCTGTTTTTCTTCCAGGCTTGTGCTCTTCTCTCCTTGTCATAAAATGTAGGGGCATGATGTGGTAAACTTGCTCAATTGGGCATAACAGTTGTTGAGAAACAAGGCTGGTAACACCAGCTGTAATACCGGCTGTCTGTCTGACTCATGCAGCTGCTAAAGATGATAGGGCTGAGATATCAGACTGAACTGTGAATTGCTTGGCTCCTATCATAATATTAATTTAAATGTTTTTTAATTGAAAAATGCAGCATGCCTACAGAAGAGTATATAAATTTTTTATGTGTGGTATAAACATGTTCCCATCACCAGGTTAAGAAATAGAATGCTACCAGTACCTGGGCCCTTCTTCAATTGCAACTACTAAATGTAACCACTAGCCTGACTTTTGTGTTAACCATTCCTTTGCTTTTCATTATAGTTTTAGCATCTTTTAAAATAAATCTCCAAACAATATATTGTTTTATTTTGAAAAACTGAGTAGCAAGCCAAGCATAGCTGTGTAAGGAAAGGATAATATTGACCTTTCTTAGAGGAAGGCTCCCAGGTCAGGGCAGCGGACCAGGGTCTCAGGGACATAGTCTGGCTTCACCTTCCATGGGAGTTTATAAGGGCCCCTTCTGGGACGTTGGGGGGCAAGGTCATGAATGAGTCTGGGGAAACATAGGGCTCATTACACTGGAGGACCTCGTGGGACCAGTGTGAGTCAGAAACTGGGTGTCTAGCAGGAATATTGTCAGAGGAAGTGGGTTGTTCTATATGTTCAGTTGTAAGCTTGTCAAAGGCTATTCTAGCTCCAAGAAATAGGTCAAAGCAAAACCCTTCTGTGGGGTGAAATGAATGTCCTCAGCAGACTCAGGTAGCAGGAACTACGAGAAGGAATGATAATTATTCCACGGTGAAGACCAGCCAAATAGATAAGGATTAGGGCCAGGCATGCCAGGACATCTAGGAGATAACTGCCCTCAACATGTCTCAGTCTTGAGTCACTGTTCCATTCTGTCTGAGCGGGTGGCCCTCTACTTGTAGTACTCAGCCGTTATCCTGAGATTTCCCTTCATAGTCCTCCTGTGTTGGGTCTCCTGTATCATGAATACTATGTTTTCATCTCTCCTGGTTTACTCCATTTTGATGGATCATATCCTCCAGTCAATTCTTTAGAATGAATGTATGGGTGTTAAAATTTCTGAGCTCTTACATATCTAAAAGTTCTCTCACACTTGACTGGTAGTTTAGCTAGGTACAAAATTCTGGATTGGCCAAAATTTTCCTTCAGAATTTTGACAGCATCATTTCATTATCTTCTCAGTGCTGCTGCTAGGAATTCCAAAACCATTTTATAACTCTTTCTGGAAGCTTGTAAAATTTTCTTTTACTCCCCAACATTCTGAAATTTTGCAGTTATGTGCCTTGGTATTCTTCTATTGTGCTTACCACCCAAGAGGCATTTTGTTTCTGGAAACTCATATCTTTATGTTCTGGAAAACTTTCTTGATTTTTTATTGATGATTTCCTCTCTATTTTCTCTTGCCTCTCTTTATGGAACTATTATTACTTGAATGTTAGAATTCATTGACTGATCCTTTAATTCTTCTATTTTCCATCTCTGTGTGTTTTGTTCTACTTTTTGTATGATATTCTCAACGTTATCTTTAAACTTCTGAATTTTTCATTTTTGCTATCATACTTTTAATTTGCAAGAGCTGTTCCTTTATTATAGCATCTTGCTCTTGTTTTATGAATGCAATATCTTCTTTTACTTAGGGATTGTAACGATAGTTGGGTTTTTTTTTTTTTTTTTTTTTTTGTCTTTTTCCGTGTCCGGCATTTTTTTTTTTTTTTTGTCTTTTTGTCTTTTTCCGTGTCTGGCAATGGATCGCAACCCTCAGTGTCGCCCCCGTACCGGACCGGCAACGGGATCACAACCCTTGGTGCTGCTCCCGCGCCTCGCTCAGCCAGTGAGCAGGAACCGGTCTGTATGTGGGATCCGAACCCTCGGCGGGAGCGCCACCGCACTTCCCAAGCGGTGCACTATAGCAGTGCGCCACCGGGCCGGCCCTTGTTTGTTTGTTTTTTATCCTGCCTAAACTTTCTATCCTACAAGTTACTTTCCATTTCTCCCACTTGTTTGGCTTCTATCTTCCACATTAGATGCCTTTATTTGGTATATGATAATCCGAGGTTGTCTTTCTAATGATTGAAATAGAGGACTTTAGAACTTACTGAGCATGCAGGTGAAACTTGTCCACCATGAATTTCACTGTAGACATTTGGAGAAATGGCGGTGTTTATATCTTTAGGTCTTTCCTCCTGGGTTAATCAAGTTCCCTGGGTAGACCACAAACCTTATACCTGGGGGTAAAGCCTGACTGCTGGAAGTCTGGGAGCCCAGTGGTTAAGAGGGCTAGGTGGTAAGGAAAATTCTCAGCACTCAGCATTCATTTTGCCTTAGGTCATTTAAACCTTCTGAGATATGACAACCACTTCTGTAATTGTGCCCAGTATCTCGTAGTCCAAGGACCCTCTCTTTTGCCCTTTCCAGAATATAAATCTTCAGAGTTTGCCATGGTGGGCAGGAATAGTTATTAGTATTCTATAGTTATTAGTATAGAAGTGGGTAAGGGAAACCGGAGATCTGTTTCATAAACCACTTTGACTTGGTTCTTCTTGTTTTAGTCATTTCCTTCAGTTCGAAAGGTACCTGATGCTGATAGTTCAGAGCTTTTTCCAGATTCTAGGATACACATTGTGTGGTTTTCAATTCCTCCATTTTTGGCTTTCAGGAGTCTTCTAAGTTCATTACCATTAATTCATTCAGCAAGTCCTTGAGCCCCTTGTCTAAGCCAGGCAGTCTTCCAGGTGTTGGGGATACCTCAGTGAACAAAACAGACATAAATCCTTATCCCGGAGCTGCTCACAGTCCAGTGGGGAGAGATAGACAATAAGCAAAAGGAAGCAAATTACAGAGTATGTTAGAAGGTAATAAGGGCTGTAGAAAGTAAGTAAAGTGGGTTTGGGAGTTGAAGTCTTGGGGCGGGGTGGAGAAAAAGTGACTTCAATTTTAAATAGAATAGCCAGAGAGTTCTCAATGAGAAGGTGAAATTTGAGCAAAGACTTGAAGGAGGTAAGGGAATTAGCCATGTGAATAGCTGGGAGAAGGACATTCGGACAGAGGGGACAGCTGGGGCAAAGGCTCAGAGGTAGGAGCATGCCTAGTATTCTTAGGAATCAGGAGGCCAGTGAGCTAAGTGGAGTGAGTGAGGGGAAGGAGAACAGGTGAGGTCAGAGGAGGTCCTTGAGGCTGACTATTGGACTCGGGCTTTGACTCTGAGAAATGGGGAAGCCGTTGGGACATTTGTAAACAGGAGTGGTATGATCTGACTTTTATTTATAAAGGATTATACTTTGGCTGTGGTTTCGAAAATAGACTGTGGGAACAGAAACAGAAGAAGGGAGACCAGTGTGGCTATGTGTCCAATGTGTATACACTGGCCACTTGTGGCTATTGAGCCCTTGAAACATGCGAGTTCCCATGGAGATCCTGTAAGTGCACAATGCACATCAGATTTTGAAGACTTAATACAAAAGAAAGGATGGAACATATCTCGCTGATTTTTTATATTGATTGCCTGTTGAAATGGTAATAATTTGGATATCTTGGGAGTTAAATAGAATGTATGATTAAAATTTATTTCATCTATTTCTTTTTACTTTTTACAATGTGGCTGTTGGAAGATTTGAAATTACACAGGTAGCTTGCAATTGTATCTTGCATTATATTTCTACTGGATAGTGCTGTTCTGGATATACTTTGAAGGTGGAGCCAACAGGATTTGCTGATGGATTGCAGAGAGGCTTCAAGGTTGACTCCAAAACTTTGGGGCTGAACAACTGGAAGTATGGAATTGACATTCTCTGAGATGAAGGAAGCTATAGGTTTGGCATGTGTGTAAGTAGATGAGGAGTTTAGTTCTGAACATGTGATACTGGAGGTGTTTCTGAAGCATTTAAGTGGAGATGGAAAATGGGCAGTTGGATGTGGAAGTCCAAGGTTCAAGGGGACAGTTCAGGCTAGAGATGAAAATCTGGAAGTCATGATCACAGGTTGTATTCAAGCATTCAAGCCATGAGGCTTGATTAAATCACTTCTCTTCCAAATGATTTACAACTTCCAGAATCATTTTCCCTGTTTTTGTAGGCTTATATCTTTTTTATTTTGTTTATTTTTTTAGTTATTACCTCTTTTAGAGGGAGCCAGATTGAATGTGTGTGTTCAATTCCCCATCCAATACTGTATTAACTTCTTTAAACTCATATGGTTGTTTGTTTGTTTTTCTGGCCTTTGATTGTGGTGGAAGAGTGATGCCTATGAAATTGTACTGCTGTGTAGAAGCCTTGCCACACTGCTCTGCCAGCCTTTCTGGAAAAATAATGACTTTTGCTTTTCCCATAGGCAAGAAGGCTGCTTGATCTTGCCACAGTGAAGTCGAATGGATTGGCTGCCTTCCTTCTACAACATGTCCAGGAATTACCAGTCACGTTAGCCCTGCCTTTTGAAGGTACGTGTATGTTCTCAGTCAGAAAGGGAAAGGAAGTCAGTGCAGATTCATGGTTAAGAGCAAACACACGTCAGTTAACATCCCACGAACTGGCTGAATAAGCCTCCCTAAGACTCAGTTTCCTCATTTTAAGGCTAACACTGCCTCATTGGGCTATTAGGAAGATTAGAGGGATGAAAGTGTGTAATATTAGCTATTAGTTTTTATTGCTTCCCACACTGCATAATGATAATTGGAGCAAGAATTTATTTATTGAGGGCTAACTATAGGTGTTCCTTGCTATCCACACTCTCATTATCTGTACCAAAAAAATGTGGATATGCTTTTCGAGATAGGGCTGGTATCTCTTGATCTCTGAAATTTAGCTACTGATGATCAGAAACTCAAGAACCAATTGGATTTAGGTAATGTGGTATCCCTCAGTGCCCATGGTCACCAACCAAACCCTGGAATGGTAGAGGCTTGGACAGCACAGCTTGAACATTCTAGGCATCCTGCCAGGTGCTTTATGGACAATACCTGCTCTTTGCAACAATCTGGAGAAGTAGGTGTTTTCTCTACATTACAGATGTGGAAACTGAGCAGGGAGGTTAAGTGATTCAGTAGGGGAAGATGGGTCTGTTGTAAACTGTCCCCACCTACATTTTCTCTTTTCTTGGGAGAAGAAATCATCAGTTGTAAAGAGAGGATGCAAACCTAGAACTCTCTGAGTCTTGCTCCCACATCACCATCAGGAAAGTTCCTTGGCAGTAAAAGCCCCCAAGCTGTGCATGGTGCTGGCAGATGGGTTTATCATCCTGGGCTCTGCCCTCTGTGCAGTGAGTGTGCCTGTGGGAGAGGTGTCTGGAAGCCTGTGCTGGGCATGTGGATGTGTACCATCCCATCTAAGAACAGGATATAGATATTGGTGCATGACAGGGGATGCACAGCCCAAGCAGGGTGCCCGACTTGGCCCTGGGTTCATGCTTGTTGTTGACATCATCAGGTATAGCTGGCTATTCAGGCTTTGTAACACAGTGACATGGTGTAAGATTCCTCATGCTTCTACAGGTGACAATTGACATGTTTATGAGGATACTTTGAAAAGGTCAGGGAAAAATAAAACTAAAGTATAACATGAAACTTTCTGTGAACTTTCTGAAGTACCCTCGTATTTCTTTTTAAAATGAGAGATACTTTTTTTTTATTTTTGAGAATTTCAATATCATTGGTGATGACTAGAAAACCATTATTGGAAATCAGGGTATTGGAGAGGAAGATGGCTATGCTGTGGTCTCTGGTCAGTGCTCTTGGTATATCCAGAGGTCAGAAAGAGTGACAGCAATCATCAGCTCTGGGAACAAAAGAGGAGATGCATACATAGGGCACAAACACAGGCCACCCCTTATGACTCTACAGATACTCTGCAGTGAACTAAGAGCTCCATGGAAATGACTCATTAGCCTTTGGGTTGAGAACAAATGGGCAGTACTTGGTTGAGGACATGAGGCTGTGATGGGGTGAACTGTGCTGATGTCCTGCCAGCCTGGGACTCTGGACCAGCACTTCCCCATTTCATGAAAGGAGAACTAAACTCTGATGCAAGAAGCGGTTTGCTCACGTTGGTATCAGAATGATGAAGGAAGAGTGGCAGCCGTCTGGACACACCCGTGCATGGAAACTCTTCCTTCAGGGGGTGCGTGAGGAGGAGGGGGAGATGGAGGCAGGATTGGCCCAGGCATCCTGGTGACCTTCCAGTGCTAGGCCCACCAGGTAATGCAGGCTCATCTCCCCATCTCAAGGTCTCTAACTTCATCACATCTGCTGAGTCCCTTCTGCCATGTGAGGTCACATGTTCACAGGTTCTAGGGATCAGGACGTGGACATCTTTGGGGGACTATTATTGTGTCTACCATACCCATTAATAATAATGATAAATCGTCTAAACTCTAATTTATCTAATTGCCTTCTGAAAGAATCCTTCAAGGTGTGGGTTGTCCCCACTTACATAAATAAGAAAACTGAAGCCCAGAAGGTCAAGTGACTTGTCCGAGTTAATGGTGGAGAAGTTTTCAAACACAGGTGTGTCTGACTTCAGAAACTGGGCTCCTGAGCCCTTACACCTTCTATTTCCCTCTGGAAAGAGGCAGCTGAGGCTGAGGGGTGACGAGACTTGTCTAAGGCCACCCAGCCAATATGGCAGGACAGGCATCAGAGCGCAAGTCTTCTGACCCTAGCCCCTTCTAATCTTCTACATCTCTTCCTGATGTCAGTCACCATAATGGGGGGTAGCTAATGTCTTTTGAGCACTTACTTTGTGTTGAAAACTGTACTAAACACCTGACATGCATTGTCTTAGTTGATCCACGTAAAAACTATAAAGTAGTGACCACCGTTTCTCCCACTTTACAGGGGAGGAAACTGAGTCTTAGGAAGTTTCTGTGACTGCCCTCAAAGTCCACAGCTCGTGAGTGGAGGAGCCAGGACGGGGTGCACTCTCCCATCAATAACATTGTACTCCCCCATGCAGCCTGCTTTCTGGTCAGGTCCCAAGTTCACCATGTCCCACCCTCATTTGCCTCTCCTGTCTTCCAGATGCCGCATGTAAGAAGTACATGTCCAAGCTGAGGACCACAGTATCTGCTCAGTCTCGCTTCCTCAGTACCTATGACGGGGCAGAGAATCTTTGCCTAGAGGACATATACACGGAGAATATCCTGGAAGTCCAGACAGAGGCGGGCATGGCTGGGTCCCCGCAGAAGAGCCCTGCCACCCTGGCCCTGGGGGAGCTCTTCAGCACACATGGCCACCTCAATGAAGATGCAGACACCATGCTGGTGGTGGGCGAGGCAGGCAGCGGCAAAAGCACGCTCCTGCAGCGGCTGCACTTGCTGTGGGCCACGGGGCAGGACTTCCAGGAATTTCTCTTCGTCTTCCCATTCAGCTGCAGGCAGCTGCAGTGTGTGGCCAAACCACTGTCTGTCCGGACGCTGCTCTTTGAGTACTGCTGTTGGCCTGACATTGGCCAACAGGATATCTTCCAGTTCCTCCTTGACCACCCTGAACGCATTCTGTTAACCTTTGACGGCTTTGACGAGTTCAGGTTCAGGTTCACAGATCGTGAGCGTCACTGCTCGCCAACTGACCCCACATCTGTCCAGAATCTGTTCTTCAATCTTCTGCAGGGCAACCTGCTGAAGAATGCCCGCAAGGTATTGACCAGCCGTCCAGATGCAGTGTCGGCGTTCCTCAGGAAGTACATCCGCACAGAGTTTAACCTCAAGGGCTTCTCTGAAGAGGGCATCCAGCTGTATCTGAGGAAGTGCCATCGTGAGCCTGGGGTGGCAGACCGCCTCATCCGCCTGCTCCAAGGGACCTCAGCTCTGCATGGTCTGTGCCACCTTCCTGTCTTCTCATGGATGGTGTCCAAATGCTACCAGGAACTGTTGCTGCAGGATGGGGCATCCCCAAAGACCACCACGGATATGTACCTGCTGATCCTGCAGCATTTTCTGCTGCATGCCTCCACCCCAGACTCAGCCTCCCACAGCCTGGGACCTGGCCTCCTTCGAGGCAGTCTCCCCACCCTTCTGCACCTTGGCCAGCTGGCCCTCTGGGGCCTGGGCACGTGTTGCTATGTGTTCTCAGCCCAGCAGCTCCAGGCAGCACAGGTTGACCCTGAAGACGTTTCTCTCGGCTTCTTGGTACATGCCAAAAATGTCGTGCCAGGGAATTCGGCCCCCCTGGAATTCCTGCATATCACTTTCCAGTGCTTCTTTGCTGCGTTCTTTCTGGTGCTCAGTGCAGACCTGCCATCAGCCTCGCTCAGACACCTGTTCAATTGTCACAGGCTGGGCCGTTCACCACTGGCCAGGTTGTTGCCCATGCTATGCATCCCAGGCTTGAGATACAAGGAGGACAGTGTATCAGCTTTGTTGCAGAAGGCTGAGCTACATAACCTTCAGATCACTGCGGCCTTCCTGGTGGGGCTATTGTCACGGGAGCACCAGGCCCTGCTGGCCGAGTGCCAGGTGTCAGAGAAGGTCCTGCTCCGGCGCCGGGCCTGGGCCCGCTGGTGTCTGGCCCGCAGCCTGCGCAAGCACTTCCACTCCATCCCGCCAGCCTTGCCAGGTGAGGCCAAGAGCATGCACGCCATGCCCGGGTTCATCTGGCTCATCCGGAGCCTGTACGAGATGCAGGAGGAGCGGCTGGCAAGGGAGGCTGCACATGGGCTGAATGTTGGGCACCTCAAGTTGACATTTTGCAGTGTGGGCCCCGCTGAGTGTGCTGCCCTGGCCTTCGTGCTGAGGCACCTCCGGCAGCCTGTGGCCCTGCAGCTGGACTACAACTCTGTAGGTGACATTGGCGTGGAGCAGCTGCTGCCTTGCCTCAGCATCTGCAAGGCTCTTTAGTGAGTGTTGCTGGGCATTGCTGGTCAGGCAGGGGGGATATGCCACCATCTAGGTTGGGTGTGGAAGCACCGAGCTGAGATCTGGAAGTCCGGGCCCAGCCCTAGCTCTGACCTTTCTGTGCAATCTTGGCCAGATCCCTTCCCCATTCCGGGCCTTAGTTTCCATATATGATAACCATAGCCATACTTTATCGAATATCCTGTGTGCCAGCCACTGTGCAACACTTCCCAGAATTAGCTCATCTAATCTCTACAACCCCCCCCCCCCCCCCCGAGCTATAGACAGGGACATTATTATCCCCAATGTCCTTGATTTGAGGCTTAGACAAGTGAAGTAACTTGTCCAGATTAAAACAAGAAATGGCAGAGCTGGGTTTCACAGATCACATCTTTCTGTTGCAAGTTTTCTGCTCCCTACAAGTAATCCATCTGTGGATGTGCCTCAGAGGCTTCATGAAAACCTGAGGTCACATGTAAAGTTTTGTGTCATACGTGTCTGTATTAGGAACTACCCTAAATCAGAGGTGACTTGTGCCCCACCAGAGACTTTAAAATCCCAACAAGATGGGAATTTCAGGGCCCAGGAGTTAGAAAGTGGCTGCAGAGTTTTACCTAGTCTTTTATTCCTTAGGTTGCACAATGTCCAAGCAGGATCTTGGCATTCCTTCTACTGCTTTCAGCCGCTGGCTGAAGATGTGGGGTTTTGACCTTCGGAATGTCTATGCTCCTGAACCCCTGGGCCTCTTTGCATGTATTGGGGCAAGCGAGGGCAGGTGGTGTGCCTAGGCCTGACAACCAGCATGCCACAGGCTCCCCAACTTTTCTCCAGCCTTGAAAGGGGATTCCTGCTCCCTCTTTGGAATGTATGGGAAAGCAGAAGTTATAGATTAACGTTAAAATATATTCACAGCCTCTCGGGGCTTTTGGGCTACCCCAGATGACCTTCATTGACCTCAAGCAAGGGACAAGCCTCTCCTTGAATATGTTAGGATGGCCTATCTTCTCTGGGGCAGAGCAGCAAGACTGTTTTCTTCATGGAACGAACACATGGTTATCTGCTAGAAACTGCAGCTACTTTTGTTAACTCTTACACAGAGACCCTGGTCATAAGTTTATAACGTAATGATAGATAATATATAATGTGTTATATATAGCCAGTATGTAACTTGTATGTTATGTACGATTAATATATAATACAACTATAAATGTGAATATAATGTCAGGGTCTTGGGAGAAACAGAGGCCACACTGAAAATGGGTATTTTGAGGAGAGTTTAATAAAGGGACTGTTTACAAGGATGTGGACAGGAGTTAGGAAGAGCAGAGAGGGATGGTGCAGGGCACGGGTCAGGGGCAGTTGGTGGGGGTTAGTGAAGTTGGGGGGTTAGTAACAGTTGGGGGGTGGTAACAATTGGGGGGTATTAGTAGTAGTTCAGGGGTAGGCCTAAAGGGGCAGGGGGAGGGAGTACTCGTTAGCAGGGAGGAAGGTATGCAGAAGGCTGCCTGGCTTTGGCAACCTGGAAGGGTGGATCTGGAAGAAGAAGGCTGGGCCCTTTCTCTCCTCCGACTCTTGCCTCCTCCCCGTGCCTTCCACAGGCTGAGCCCAACAGGAAGGCAAAGCAGGCTGCCTGCTGATGTAGTCCACGGGGAGACCAAGAGGCCGGTAGAGGAGGGGGAGAGTGGATCCGGCCAGATAAGTGGGAGATGACCAGCACAATACTCTATTTCCCTAGGAGGGAAGCATCTTGATATTTTGACTGGGGGATCTGAAGACTGGTCTGTTGAAGCTATTTTCCTGATAGAAATATGCAAGGGCATTTTCCTGGGTAGAGAACCCATAGTTTTTACCAGGTTCTCAAAGGGTCCCGGAACTCCTAGATGACCCTCATAGACCAGCCCATCCCTAGAATTCTCGAATAGATCCTCTCTCCTGATGTCCCCATGAGCCCTGGGGTGTGCAGCACGGCTAGGTGGAGGCTGTAGGTCTGTCTCTATTTTCAGTGAAAGGTGAGGGTGGCGTGGGTCTAGCTCATGGAGCTCAGACTGTAGTGTGTAAAGGCGATTGTTGAAATGCAGATTCCTGGGCCTTCCCCTAGTAATTCCCATTCAGTAGGTCTGGGCTGTGGGTCCAGGAAATCTACACTTTTTAACAAACGTCCCTGATGATTCTGATAGCAGTGATCTCACACTGTGAGAACTACTGGTCTGCAGCAACCAGCTTGATTTTCCACTAGCAACGAAAGTCCTTGACCAAGTTGGTTCTTTACCCTACACACACTAAAATTACCAACACTATGGCGGAGGAAGAAACAATCACGAAGTTGCTATGTGGGCATTTCCTCTGTGTGAAAGAGAGTGAGAGAGAGAGAGAGAGAGAGAGACAGAGAGAGACAGAGAAACAGAGGGGGAGGGAAGACAGAGGAAGGGGGGGTGGGGTACAGGCGTCTCTCCCACAATACCAAGCTGTATCTCTCCCACTTGAAGTGTTTCCATGCCAACTGAAATCCTCAGCATCTATGAAACCCTATATACAAAGTTTCCCTATATAGGTCTCTTTAGATCCCGGCTCTCTCTGACCCTAGGGTGATGATGGCTTTCAAAAATTTTTTAACCGTGACCCACAATGAGAGGCAGAGAGAGAGAGTAGGCACACCATTATATAAAATAGAAATAGAAGCTCTCTGAAATGACTTTCCCTTAACTCTGCTACACTTTGCTCTCTTCTTCTGTTCTGGTCTATTTCAGTTTTACAAATGCTGCTCAGGAAAACTGTATAATGTTGTGGTTGGTTAGGAGTGGGATTTGCAGCCAGACTGCCTAGGCTCAAATCCTTTATGTGCTGTGCAGCCTTGGCAAAGTCATTTCGCTTGTCTGTTCCTTAGTTTCATTCTCTCTAATGGACATGATAATAGTATCTACTGCATGGACTTGTTGTGAGGATTAACGTTACTATTGGAAGGGCTTAGAACAATGCCAGGCACTTAAAATGCTCCGTGAATGCTAGCGACCTTGATTACAGGTGACTTTTACCATGTGCCAGGTGCTCACAGGGCTGTATGTGCACAGCCCAGTGAGGTTGGTAATACTGTTGTTCCTTTTCATGGATGAAGGGACCAGCAAATAGCTAGTAAGTGGCTGATCAGGATCAGAACTTCCAGCTGAGGCACACCACAGGCTGATCTGTTAACCATTGGGTCAGGGCCTCCCAAGTTTGCCTGAAGATAAAAAATCATGTGCACAGTTGTTCAAATATACAGATACCTCGGCCCCAGCTCACACATATGGAATCCTCAGCTCTAGGGTAGGGGCCCAAGAATCTGTATTTTAGGGAAACTTTTGGATGATCTTGTGATCAGGTGACTTTTGAGAACAGTGCCCCAAGAGGAGTGTCAGAGGGCAGTTGCTAGGCAGGGTCTAGCCTGTAGGAGTGGTGGCACTGGGGTTAAGGACAGGTGAACAGGCCTCACTAACCACTACCTGTGCACGTTTCCAAAGCTTTTGATACTCTCATCCATCTGGTCTACCATCTGCTCACTTTGATGGTGGTAACCATAATCACCCCCAGAGGTGGCCTGTCTAGTTCCGGCTGCACCTTTCTGTGTATCAGCTCCTTCCCATCTTGGACCCTTCTGTGAGGCTGTTGTGATAATCATTTTCCTTTTATAGAAATGCAAACAGTGCTTCAAATTAGATCCGTGACTTCCCAAGAATTCCAGTGTTCTTTAGTAGGGGCTTTGGGTCCCCACTTCTCAGGCTGTTCCCACCATAGTGCACTGCCTCAGCTCCCTGGCCAGAGATGGTGGGGTCTGCACTTTGCTAGGGTGCTCTATCCTTTCCCAGAAGCACAGATGCTGGCACTTTAGGGATGAATGAAAGTCTCTTTTGGAGTTTTGCACATATTTTCTTCTCTTATCAGCTCCATTTTCAGATTTATTGATTTTGTCTTTTTTAGCTTGCGAGATAACAACATCTCAGACCGAGGCATCTGCAAGCTTATTGAACATGCTCTTCACTGTGAGCAGCTACAGAAATTAGCGTAAGTCAGGCTGGGCTGTGGATGCTGGGCCCTTGGTCCCCCAGCCTCCCTCCAGGCTTGCCCGCCTGGGCAGCTGTGAGTGAATGAGCGGCTGGGGTGGGGGATGTTTTCATGACTGGAGGGTGCAGGTAACTCCTGTCTGGAGGGAATGGGCAGCCCTGGTTTGGTGCTCACTGTCCACTATGTCTTCTCACCCTGTCTCCTCTCTTCCGGAACTTAGTCTTTTCAACAACAGATTGACCGACGGCTGTGCACACTCGATGGCCAAGCTCCTTGCATGCAAGCAGAACTTCTTGGCATTGAGGTGAGCCTGGCACGTCTCTATTCCCTGGAAACTGTTTTTTTCCCCCTTACCTGAATCAGTCTAGTCTGGTCTGGTCTCTGCCCTGGCCTGGCCCACACTGGGCTCATGACCTCCTGATGAATACAGGGACAGTGTCCCATTTTGACCTTTAGCCCTTAGGGCGAAGAAGTGTTTCCAGGTTCTTTTCCTTCCCTGTGTCTAAGAGTGTCACAAGATCCTCTGGCGTTGCAGAGTTCCCTATGCGCATTGAGCATGTCCTGCTGGGGGAGTCACTTGCCACCCATCTATGGCGGCCAGTTGTCCAGTCTCCCAAAAGGTCCTTTCACCGCTCAGCATGTGTAAGGTTTTCATTCCCATCTGGGAAGTTTGCATTTCTGTTGCTCCAGAGCTTCCCAGACTCAGCCGGAGTCTCTCTCCTACCTGACACCATTAAATTGCCTCTCCAGCTGGTCCCTGCATTGGCCTGACTTCTCTCTCTCTCTCTCTCTCGGATATTCTTGCCTCCTGTAATTTGTGAGGCAGTAAAAGAAGACAAAGTGAAGAACTGCTTCCATTCATTCTTTCTACCTGCTGAGCTGGGTTTGGTGATGGGAGCTATCATTTTAAAATTGTTGGCCATGAAGCTCAGTCTCAGCCAGGACTGCTGAGGCCAAGGCTACAAGCGCCACTTTGTACAAAGGACTCTGCTACCACCACTTTCTCCCCTAGACTCACAAACCTGAAGAGGCCGTGGCCAGACCTGGGCTGGCCCATCTCCCCAGGAAGGGTTGTGGGTAGCACAAGGGTGCCAGACTCAGAACTGGAGGCCTGGGTTTGCAGCCAGTACATCATTGTTGTTGAGAGCAGGTGGCTCTGGATACAGTCTGCCCAGGTTTGAATCTAGGAATCCTGAGATTTGAGTCCTCATTAGCTGTGTGACTTTGGGCCAGCCAACGTCTCTGTGCCTTCTGTAAAATGGGGATAATACGTGCCTCATAGGTTGCTGTGATGATTGAGTCAATGTAAATAAAGAGCTGGCACAGCATAGTAAGTGCTTTATGTAGTAACCAGTGGCCAAAAGATCATGGTAAATCACATAAGCTTGTTTATCCTTACGTTAGTCTAGTCCTCCAAGAGGGGATTAGACAGGCAACAATTTATTAAGGAAAATGCATATGAAGGGAAATGGGGAAGGGAGCTGGGGGCTGGCCCTGAGTGAAGGAGAGAGGGAAGGAAGGAAGGTGGGGAGGAAGCACTTTGGACTTCAGTGCAGCTCTAAGAGATTTCAGCAAGGCTCTGGGGAGTCCTTGAACCAAATTCGCCTAGCAGGGGTGTCTCATGTCTCTGTCACTGGCTGGGAATAGCCTGTGGGAAGTGGGCCTTGGTGCAGACACCATGACGTTAGATTTTGGAGCACAGCAACTGAGTCCCTTAGTTAACTACAGGGAGCTGAGGTTGGAGATCTGAGAGGTGCATTTTTATGGCCACCACACCCCTTCTCGAAGGGGATAATAATACCTGCCCTTCAGGATTGTCATGAACTGGAGTGCCTTAAAGTTCTTTGAAAAGATGAAAGCATATTATTATTCCAGGAAGCCTGGGGTTGTGGGTGAGAGTTCTGGGGACTTTTCTGAAATTCTCTGCAGTGTCTGGATTTGGCTGGTGCTAGAGCCTTTCCTTGCTGGGATCCTCCCTCTTCCCCCCAAGCCTTGGGGCCCCTCAACCTCCACCTCCAAGACTCAGTGGCATTCCCTCCTCTCTCCCAGCTACCTGGGCCTGCCCCAGGTTCTGCAGAACAGGTGACTGCTAGCTGCAACAGGTAGCCGTGCTGGGAAGGCCTAGAGGGTGGCTGAGACTGAGGGAAATGTGTGACAGTGAGTCATCCTCGCTCCCCTGGGGAAACCACCTCCCAGGACAGCTGCCTATTGTGGCTCCTTCCCTACCTGTCACACAGCTTTGCAAAACAGCCCCTTCCCCTCTTTGCTGGTGGAAAACAAAGTTGCCGTAGCCATTGGGTAAGTTTGACCCAGCAAGAACAGCATAAACCACAGCTGCTCCACCCAGGGAGGGGTCCTCAAAGCTTTCTTCCCCGCCCAGTGGTGGTGACAGTCCCCTGCCCTCTGCTGTGCTCTCTCAGCCTCCTCTGTCTTCCCTTCCAGGCTGGGGAATAACCACATCACCGCGGTGGGAGCCCAGGTGCTTGCCCAGGGGCTCCGAGGCAATACCTCCCTGCAGTTCTTGGGGTAGGTTGGATTCCAGGGCACAGGGCCCTGCATGGACAGGTTTGGGGCATTTCAGAATTTGGGGGCAGGTGAAACTCTTCAGCCAGAAGGCTCCAGAGGTAGCCCAGGCTCCAGTGGGGAGGGCGAGTCAGGGAGAGAGTGGGTGGCCCTTGGCTGCCTCCTGAGTTTGCTCTCTTACCTGGTAAACAGGAAGTTAAGGATGTCAGGGTTGGGGGAGGACAGTGCCCTCAAGCTGGTGACAGGAAGCTTCGGGCTGGTTCTTGGGGTGCTTAGAGCTGTGCTTTGACTGCACATTGAAACCACTTGGGAGCTTCTAAAGAACACCATTGCCTGGGCCCCATCTCACACTAATGAAATGAAAATATCTAGGTGCGGGGCCCAGGTAGCAGGAATTTTAAAAAGCTCCCCGGGGACGTGCAGCCAGGAGTGAGAGCCCCTGATCTAGGAAAGAGAAAAAGTGGGGAGAGTAAGAAGGGACCCAGGATGGGAGAGGCTGTCCCAGGTCCTTCAGGGCTCTTGCTTGCTGTAGGGCCATGACAGGAGAGGAGTCCCACAGACCACACGGCCCCAGAGGGGGCTTTCTCTGTTTGCTGGGCACAGCAACTGTCCCCCAGGGTTGCACCCATCCCCAGCAGTCCCTTTTCTGTCTGGTCATGCACTGGTGTGAACTGGGATCCACTTGACAATAACTGGGGTTTTAGAACCCAGGACTCTAGGAACAGAGAATTAACCCCAGGGCCCTGGTGTTCTAACTCATTACACAGATAGATAAGTTGCTCACAAGCTCAGTTTGAGCCAGGAGTAGGACTATGTTGCTCCAGAAATCAGCACCATTTTCAAATTGCATTAGTAGCAACAGAGTCTAGAACAAAGGAGACCACAGCCCCACTGAGCTTTCTTCTGCTTGAGGTCACATCTGCCGCATCTGGGGCTGTTTAGTTCTCTTTCAATACATATTTGTTAAGGCACCTTCTGTACTAAAACCCCCAAACACTACTGTATGATATAAACTGTTCTGTAAGTTGCATTTTTTTTTTTTTGCTTCACTATATATTTTAGGCATCTTTTCAGATCACTATGACCTCATTTTTTAAAGAAGAGCTGCATAGTATTTCAATGCATGGGTGTATGTAATCTAACTGTTCACCTGTTCATGCACACTTAGGTTGTTTCCAGGGTTTTTTTTTTTTTTTGCTAATTCAGTGTCATATCCTCAAGCACAAAGCAGTGTTGGCACATGGTCAGAGCTCAATAAATATTTACCTAATAAATGAAAGTGCAGAGAGCATCCTAGTTCAGCTATCTTTGCTCACTTGTGCACATACATGTCCAGGGAAAGTCCCCATATGTGCAATAGTCAGGTCAGAAGGTATGAGCTGGGCTCCACCTTTTGTAAAGGGATGTTTTTAAACTACAGTGAATCAGAGGAGACCACAGAAGGTGAGAGAGTTAGATACCATGAAGGAACTGGGAATGTTAACAAGGAACAAGAGATAAAGATCTGGCTTGCGGAAGAAGAGTTAGTTTTGTTCTGGATGGTCCCAGAGGACAGTTACAGACTGTGGGTGGTAGTTAGTTACCTGGAAGCAGATCTGAACTAAATGTCAGGAAAAATGTCACAACCATGTGAATTGCTGTTGAGAGAGAGTTCCCCCATCCCGGATATGGTATGGGCTGGGTGCATCTGTGCTATTCTTTAAGTGTGTAATTTAGAGCCACTGAAAAATGGCTTGGTTTGGTTATCCCACCAAAAAGATGGAGGCAGGCCCACTTTTCTGGGATTGAGGTGCCCCAATGAGACCTCTCTGGAATTGGGTGGTCCTGCCCCTCTGGGGCTGCGGAGAGGAGCACTGTCAGCACATCTAGAACACATAGCAAGTACTCACTATCTGTTGATTCTGTTGGCCTTTGTAGGTTCTGGGGCAACAGAGTGGGTGACAAGGGGGCCCAGGCCCTGGCAGAAGCCTTGGGTGATCACCAGAGCTTGAAGTGGCTCAGGTAAGCTTCAACATCTGTCCTGAAGTTGTCATGGGGGGAAGCCAGGTGAATAGAGAGGAGCTTGGGCCAGTTTTGAAGGTCTTTGAACTTCATTTCTACTCCTACTTTAGGCAGTGGGGTGAGAAGGAAAGACCATTGTATTTGGAGTCAGGGCACTTGAGTCTTTCTAGGTGACTTTGAAGATGTCCCTTACCTTCTTGGAGTTGACTCTCTATCTGTAAATTGAAGATCTTGGGCTGGATCAGGTACCATTTTATCTTAAGGACCAACTCCAATCCATTGGTGGTTTCTTCCCAGTGCAACATGTTGGGAAAGATTCTAAGGCTGCTCCTGGGCTTAAAGAACTCTATAATCAATTAGTGATGTCTGAAAAGGAGCAGATTAGGAGAGTTGGGCTATGCGTGCCATGCATTTTGCTCTTCATAGGTTGGCTTATCTCTGAGGTCCTTCCCTGCTTTGACATGTTTTTGTTCTATGATTATGTCCAGCCTGGTGGGGAACAACATTGGCAGTGTGGGTGCCCAAGCCTTAGCACTGATGTTGGAAAAGAACGTGACACTAGAAGAACTTTGGTGAGTTTGGGGGACTCCCTGCTCTGGGGAGGCAGATAGTGGCCTTTTCCCTGGCCTCATTGGGAATAGCTGCTTAGATAAGACAAAGGTAGATGATTGATTGTGTTTGTCTTTACATGTACTGAGTGGTATGAAGCTTACAGAGCCTGGTATATAGGTGCTAGTTCTTTTTGTTTAGTTATAGTCATTGGTTTTCTGGTTTGTTTATTGCCTCCGTGTGGCATAATGGTTACGAGCATAGACTGTGGAATCAAGCAGGCTGTTGATCCCAGGCAAGTTAAATAACAATCTCTGAATCTCAGGTTTCTCACCCACAGAGTGAGGGTAAGAATGCTTCCAACTATAAAAGATTTTTGTAAGACTTAAATAAGGTAATTCCTGTGAAGAGCTTAATATAGTGCTTGGCATATGTGTAAGCACTCCAAAAATCTTAAATTATAATGATGGCTGGGTCACTACTGCTGTTGCTGCTGCTGCTTCTACTACTACAGCTGCTACTAGTACTATGACTACAATTACTAGTAACATTTTGTTATTGCAAATGAATTTGAGTTCCTAAGAACACTGGGTATTAGAGTCAGTTTGGGGTAGTTGAGAGATGAACCATGAATTGTGCTTATACAGTTGACCTGAAGCTGATTCCAAGTTTTCCATTCTTTAGATGTCACTAGTTTAGTCTTCTGTCATGTTCTGGGCTTTATCAGATTATATTAGGGAGATAAAATGCTGAATGTTTGATTTTTCCAGGAAGCAGAATGGCACTGAAACATATGGGTTTTGCCACAAAACAGATATTGTGGATGGGCCTTGGCTGCTGGCAGGGCTCACTAGCTCTGCCAAAGTACCATTGATTATATCCTGATTGGATTTTGTCACTTGGAACTCCTCAGTACAAAGGAACACCTCACTTTGAGTGTATCCGTTATGGCTACTGTTAAAAAAGTACTTTAAACATTAAATTTAGAAGACTTTATTTGAGCAAAGAATGATTCATGAATAGGGCAGCAGTCAGAACCCGGAGAGATTCAGAGAACTCTACCCAGCAACGTGGGGAGGCAGTATTTGTAGAAAAAGGGAGTACAGAAACAACCTGATTGGTTACAGCTGGGTGCTTTGCCTAAATAAGGCAAAACGTGCCAAATAGGGCATGGCATAATGATGCATTTGTCTTATATGGACCTGGTCTGATCAGTTGGCAGCCTGTGATTGGCTGAAGCCTGGCTGCTTTGACTGGCTGAAGCTCAGCTATTTGTTACAAGAATATATTCCTTGTTAGGTTGCAGTTTGTTTACATAGTAAGTTAGGTTGCAGTCTGCTACATAGGGTACTGAGGCAGCTTTAGGCCAAATTTAGTTTAATATAACACTACCTTAGGCTGTAAGTGATGGAAAACCTCCATATACAGAGGCTTAAACCAGTAAAGGGTTTGTTTTTTCATGTGCAGGCAGTCTGGAGGTAGGCAGGCAGGGCTGGTGCAGTGGCTACCAGAGGCCAGCAGGGGTCTCCACCCTGTCTCTCTCTATTTCTGTTCCATCATCCTCAACCTGTGGCTTCGTCCTCCCGTTGCCTCATGGTCACAAGACGGCTGCTCCTCCTACAGCACTCTTCTGCATTCCAGGGTTCAGTCTGTGCACCCTAGGGGTGAAAGGCACAGGCCATCTGGGTCTCTCCCCTTTAAAAAGCATTCCAGGAGGCCCCACCTGTCAACCTCCTCTTATGTATCAAGGGCCAAGTGTGTGTCACATGACAAATGGCTGCAGCAGAGAGTGGGAAGTGTAGTTTTTTTAACCAAGCACAAGGCTGCCCCAAACAAAATGATGCTTCCATTAATAAGGAAGAAAGGGAAAGTGGGTCCTGGGTAGCTGGGGCATGAGGGAACTTACTATGTAGAAGAGCCTTGCAGTGAAATCTCTTGGAAGGCTGTTCCTGGAACTGAGAATCCTCATTTCCTACTTTGTCTGTTCTTACTTTATACATAAATTTGGAGTTTCAGATGCTGGATTTTCTAAATGACGGACATGTGGGTTAATCTTTATTGACATCATCTCCCGTAATAAATGTCATCATATCAGCGGGATTTTCTCTCCTGTTCTTGCCAGCTTGGAGGAGAACCATCTGCAGGATGAAGGTGTGTGTTCTCTTGCGAAAGGACTGAAGAGAAATTCAAGTCTGAAAGTCCTCAAGTAAGGAACCCATATGCAGGAGCCTGGACAATAATGACTGGTCATGGGAAAGGGCGTTTCTAAATCACAGATCTGGGCAGCTTCCCAGCCTGGGTCACTCACACGAGGCAGCCTGGTAGCTCATGTTGGTCTGGATAGAGAAGGATTCCAGTGCAAGGTGTTTACTTGGGAGGTGATCCCAGCACACACTGGGGAGAGAGTAGTGAAGTGAGGTGGTGAAGGGAAGGGAAGGAGCTCAATACTGCAGGGCACTTCAGGAGCCAGTGTAGAACACACTTGGTCACCTACCCAACCAGGGACGAGGAAGGGGATTTCATCCATCACCTGCCTGTCCTTCATATGTTTAGGTATGCTTGTGGGGAGATTAATTCTCCTGCACTTCTAGCTTCTCCCACATGGCTGAACACACTCTTGGAGTCAGGAGAACCCAGGCAGAGAGAGCAGGTCTTTCCAGCAAGCAGCCCTCAGAGTTGGAGGTGAAAGCCAAGGGAGCATGGACGGGCAGGTTGCCAACAGCATCTGCTATGTGGATTACAGGAAATGTCCCTCCCTTTTCCAGGGACATCCTTGGCCCAGGCAGGATGGCTATTTAGATGGTCACCTCCAGTGGTTTCTCTTGTGTTAGGCGGCCATGCGTACTTGCATTTATTCATGTGTGCATGCATTCATTCATTCGGCATGCTGTCACAGATTCATTTATGCATACTTCACCATCGTGTGTATTCATACAGAAAATATTTCTCGGGCACCCATTCTGTGCCAGGCACTATTCTAGGCACTGAGGATAGAGTGGTAGAAAGAACCGAGCAGCCCCTGTCCCCAGAGCTAATTTCCAGTAGGGTAGACAGATCATGAGCAAACAAACAAACAAGATCATTTCTGGTCCATGAGGAAGATGTGACAGGGAGAGGGTGGAGTTGCTGCTGCTTTGGCAAAGCCTCTCTGAGAAGGTGGCATTTGAGTTGAAACCTGACCAACAAGAAGGCGCCTTCCATGCTGAGGTCTCAGGAAAGCACATTCCAGGGGGAGAACGACAAGTGCAAAGGCCCTGAGGCAGGACCGGGTTTGGTGGTGTTGAGAACAGAACTGTGCAGTTGGAATGTGCAGGAGGAGTGGGGTGGGGAAGGGGTGGGGGAGCAGGCCACACAGGCCTCAGAGCCATGGGAAAGATTTGGGGTTTTACTCTAGGGGCTTTGGGAAGACTTTGGAGCATTTTGATCAGGGTAGTAATGTGATCTGATCTACGTGATGAAAGGATCATTCTTGCTGCTTTGTGCAGAAGGGATGGAAGAGGGGTAAGACGGAGGCAGGGAGACCAGTCAGGAGGCTCTTGCAGTCCTCCAGGGAGGAGTTGGAGGGGGCTTGGATTAGGCCGAGGGCAGCAGAGACTCCTGGTGAAAGATTCTGCCGGTGTAGAAACTGGAGAAGTGGGCAGCAGCAGCAGAGGGTGCAGAGGTGATGGGGTGGGGGTGTCTGTGGCTTCCTCTGGTGGTGGACTCAGGGGCCAGCGAGACCAGTCAGGAGGCTCTTGCAGTCCTCCAGGGAGGAGTTGGAGGGGGCTTGGATTAGGCTGAGGGCAGCAGAGACTCCTGGTGAAAGATTCTGCCGGTGTAGAAACTGGAGAAGTGGGCAGCAGCAGAGGGTGCAGAGGTGATGGGGTGGGGGTGTCTGTGGCTTCCTCTGGTGGTGGACTCAGGGGCCAGGGACTCGTACAAGGAGAGAGGTGGTGGATGTGAGCAGGAGCCCACCTAGCAACCATGACAGACTTGTGTTGGTGCTCTCTGAAGCTGGTGCCAATGGTCTCATTTCATCGAGTCTCAGGGCATCATCGGTTGGCTCCTTTTGCTAGAGAAAGGTGGCATCTGCCCTGGCAAATGTGGTGGAGGAAAACACTTGCCCTCAGAGACAGGCAGACAGCTGCCTCTGTGATAGTGTCAGCTTTGTGGCCAGACTTTTATCTACTCTGGTGATGTTTGTTTGTGTTGCTTTGCAGGGGCTAGGAAGTTACCAAATGTTTGGGGAAAACACTTTCACCCGTCACTTGGCTAGAAGTGGGCTGGGTGGCCAGGGCGAAGCTTGGATTTGTCCCAGCTGAATGCCAGCTTTGCACACAAGGGGGCCTTTGGCAATATCTAGTCCCTTATTGACCAGATGTGGGTGTGGCCATTTGATCTTCCCTCATTGTCACAGACTTATCCCACTTGACCCCAACAGATGACAGGCAATGATGGTGGAGGTTGTCCCATGCTCCCTTGTCACCAGCCTTATTAGATGGCACTGCTTAACTAGATAAACTAATCGGTGAATGGAACAGAGAGGGGTGCATATCACATAAGCCACTGGGGCTTTGTTGATGAGCTCATTGGGAATCTCAGGAAAGCGACATATCTACAGGGCAGGTGACTGTCAGTGAGCTGGCTTTAACTGGACAGGCTTAAGAGGAACACCAAGCATCCTTGAAGCTCACCCTTCCGTCTTCTTCTCCAGGCTGTCCAACAACTGCATCACCTACCTGGGAGCAGAAGCCCTCCTGCAGGCCCTTGAAAGGAATGACACCATCCTGGAAGTCTGGTAAGCCCCCTGGGCAGGCCTATTACCTCTCTGAGCCTCAGTTTTCCTATCTGTAAAATGGGGTGAAGAGAGAGAGGAACAAAAGAATTTTGAAGATCCCTTCTGACTCTGACATTGTGTCATTCTGCATTGGATCTAGTTCTCTGTCTGGCCAAGAGGACTTCACCTAAGCAGGGACTGATGTTTTCATTTTTAAATCACGACTATTCAGAAACATCTCCATTCTAAGCAATAGGGTAGGAATGGGAGGTGTAGTTGAAGAATGAAAACAGGAGAAAAGGACTCAGCTCCTGCCTCCCTGGGCATTACATCTGCCTTCACAGGTCAAGGATGTTGTATCAGACCCTCTGCAGTTGTGGATGGATGTTATACAGGTGGGAACTGTTGCACAGCATATCTGAATCTAAATAATTCAAAGCTGTAGTTGTTCATGTATTTGAAAAAGGCATCAAGTCACAACTTCAAATATTTGTCCCTGTTTCTAGGGATCTATTTCTCACTCAGATAATAAGTAGAAAGGTTTCCCCTGGTCTAATATGCTACGAGTGAATGTTACTGTATGTGTTTCAGGCACTGGGCTAGATACCAATATTTAAAAACTAAGAGATTTCCTATAAAAAATTATATTTTTATATTTCAAAAGAGCTGGCAACCCTGGACCTCATTCACAATGCCAGTAATTAACCAGAAGAGAGGAAGGGCTGACCCTTCTCAGATGGGCAAACCCACCTTGGCTGAGTGCAGACCCTCCAAGCCCATTGTCTTAGACCAGGCACCTTTAACTCCTCATCCCTGTAAGCTTGACCCCACTCTAAATATGCAGAACTTGTCTCTCTCTCAGAAGAATGCCAAAGCAGCAGCAAACATAGATATCAAATGCTGAATTTAAAAACAAAAACTTCTGAAAATTGTCCTGTGATGGAGAGATTTTTCTTTCTGTATGACTGTGTGATTCCAGTAGCCTGTGAGATAATCAGGGCCTGTATAGGGTGTGGGTTTTTGTTTCTGTTTGAAACCATTGCACAGTCCTAAGAAATGTCACATTCTGTGTCCGGGGAGCAAGCCAGCATCAGGTTGATATTTAAGGGTTCTGATGTTATTTGCTGCCTGTTGATGGAGCTTGAGAAGGCATTAGGACTTGCTCATTGCGTTCTTAACAGATTCTGTTGTTGCTTTAAAAAGAATTGCCAGCCTTAGGGAGCATGTGGCTGGCTGGGTCCAGTGTTGTGGGCTCTCTCTCTGCAGAGTCACGGAGGCTTGTTCATCAGGCAGAATGATTCATGAGCTTCCCTGGATGACAGAGGGCAAAAACAGCACAGACTTTCCTCCTGGGAGTGAGCCCCACAGCTGAGCCATAGGGTCATCCCATCACAGGCAGGAGTTTAAAAAGTGGCAGCTTCCATTGGAAAGCATGGCTCTAATTTTGTCTCACTCAGATCTCTCTTCACTTTATCTCCCTTAGGCTCCGAGGGAACACTTTCTCTCTAGAGGAGATCGAGAAGCTCAGCCAGAGGGACACCAGACTCTTGCTTTGATGTATCTGGGCTGACGTTCATCTGTTTGTTTGTGAGCAAGCTGTGGGTTTGGACCCCAGAAGCTGGATTTCATCTGGCAGCAGCCTGTTCAGTTTGAGCTCTGTCCTGCCCAGGGCTGAATTCATTTTCTGGGAGCACAATAGACCCCCTTCATTCTGGCAGAGGAAGGAGCATCAGTGCCTTGCAGAGTAGACTTTTTCCAAGCTACTTTGCCATGACTTCTTCCCATATTCAATCCATGGGACCCACAAGAGGGGCAGCCCCTCCTCCATAGTACGGGGCTGGCCTCCAGCTGATCCTCCAGGGTTCTGATGTGGGTCAGTGGGATGTTCACCGAGTGTCTGTTGGTGTAGAGACCTGGACCTACGTGGAAGACCCCTCCCCCTCCTCTCATGAAGAGGAGTATTCAAGAAGCAACTTTCCACCATGTCTCAACTCACAAGTCATCCATCCAGACCATTCCCCACCTCAGGTTTCTCCACTCACCCTGGACCCTGCACATGGTACTTCCTCTGAGCTTGAGATGTGGAATATGAGTGTTCTCAGCTTCGATATTTCACTTATAGCACCCCCAATCCCAGCACCCAGGGTGGAAAGGGCTACTATTGACTCTGCTCTTCTTTCTGGTGCTTAAGACATTGTTGGGAGGGGACATGTGACAGTTGTTTGTTCCCCAAGACATTCTAGATTTGCAAGAAAAGTATGACCACACTCCAGCTGGGATCACACGTGGACTTTTATTTCTGGTGAAATCAGTTACTCTTCAGTCAAGCCTTTGGAAACAGCCCACTTAAAAAAGCTCCAAATGCAGCTTTTTAAAATTAATCTGGGCTAGAATTTCAAACGGCCCCACTAGGCTTCTGGTTTATGCCTGTGAATTGAACTCTGACAACAGACTTCTGAAATATATCCATAAAAGACAGTTTCATTTTATTTGTGCCAGAATGCTTTAGGATATATAGCTATGGACTGAAAGTTTACAGGGGCAAAATCAGGCCCTTCCTTCTAAGAAAAGTCTTCCTGGATTTTTCAACATGATGCATGTTGAAGCCTTTGTAAATTGTCGGATGCTGTGCAAATGTTATTATTTTAAACATTGTTATGTGTGAAAATTGGTTAATATTTATAAACTACTTTGTTTTATTCTCCCAAGTTCATACTTTTATAGAAAACATGACCATGAACTTTATGCTGTAAATAATCACAGAGGAGAAAACTATTGAGTCACCAAGGCTATCTTCATTGTGACTAAACATTTTTAAATATTTTTAAAACTTGTCAAATTTTAGAGCACAATTTTCTACTTGAAAGGGGGTGGGGTGGGGATGATGTTTTCAACCAGATAATTTATTGCATAAGGCCAAAGCAATTTTTAGAAATAGCCTGGCCATCAAAACACATTGGCTTTGGCTTATAAAAGTCTAACCCAGAGTGAAGTTTTAAGCTGTGCAGGAGCCTCATGGTGCCCAGGCTGAAAAGCTGCAGCAAATGTGAAAAGGCCCCTGGGTCTCCTTCAGTTCTCTCAAAGTGGCTCCAGAGTCTTTAACAGGAGAAGGTTGGAGAAGATTTGCATACAGCTCTCCTTTGTGCATAGCTTCCCATGCAGGACCTGTGTTGAAATAATTCTTAGTTGCATCTAATGAGCAAGGGCTCAGGTGGCTGCTCACCAAGGTGACATCCCACTTGCTGGGAAGGTTTTGTGTGTGTCTGGCTCGCTAAGTGCTATGGCATCTCCCAGGGCTCCTGCGTGTTAGCTGGTCTGTGGGGTCTCTGTTGCTGATGCTCTGTTCTGTCCAGAACATTGTTTCTGCTCTAGAAGATTAGGAGAAAGGTGGAGATGGGTTTGCTTTCTCTGAGGAGTAAATGCAGCACCCCATTTGCATAGCACCATGTTGGGTTGTAAATTCATTTTCCTTAAATTCATTCAGCAATGATTTATGAACCAATTATGATAGGATGATCCATGGATGTACAAAACAGACATGCGCCCTATCCTCAAGGCACTTAGGTGAGGGTAGAAGGAGACAGCAGGGAGAAAACAAGTAAAGTGAAAAATATAGAAAATAAAGTCCATGGCAGTAAGTACTAGGAATGAAATAAACAAAGGTACAAGATAGAGGAAATCTTCTTCAAACTGTTGGGGGGTTGGGCTGAGACAGGTTATCTGAGGAGGTGCCAGGTAAACTGTGTCCCCATGAATGAGAAGAGGCTGGCCATGCAAAGAGCTAGGGGGAAGCTGGGAGCATTCTGGTCACAGGCAACGAGGTGTACAAAGACCCCCATGGTGGGAAAGAGCTTGGTGTGTATGGCAGGCTGAATAATGACGCCCAAAGATATGCAGGTCCTAATCCCTGGGACCTGTGAATGTTACCTTACATGGTAAAAGGGACTTTGCAGATATGATTAAGTAAAGGATCTTTAGATAGGGAGCTTATGCTGGATTACCTGGGTAGGCCCTAAATGCAATCACAAGTGTCCTTATAAGAGTAAGACAAAGGAAGATTTGACAGAGGAGAAGAATGCAAGGTGACCACCAAAATAAGAGGCTACCCTACTGGCTTTGAAGGTGGCAGAGGGGCCATGACCAAGGAATGCATTTCTAGAAGCTGGAAAAGGCAAGGAAACAGATTCTTTCCTAGAATATCTGGAGGGAGCGTAGCCTTTCTTGCCTGCCTTGGTTCCAGCCCATTTTGGACTTCTGGCCTCCAGAAGTGTAAGAGAATACTGTCATTTCAAGCTACCAAGTTCCTGGTAGCAGTCATAGGAAACTAATACAGTATGTTTGAGGCAAGCAAAGGGGAGGGTGTCATTAGATGGGTTTGCAGGGGCAGGTAGGGCCAGTTCATGAAGCATCTTATTGGCCATGGTCAAGAGCTCAATCTTGATCTTAGAATAAGGGCAGGTCATTGGAGTGTTCTAAGCAGGGGGCATGTGACCCAATGTATGTTTAAAGATCTCTTGCTCCTAGGTGGAGATGGGACTGGAGTGCATAGCAGTGGGGATGGGTGGAAGAGGAAGTGGGGAGACTGCCTAGGAGCTATTACAGATGAGAAGCAGTTGGCAGCCTAAGGTATTAGCACTGGAGGTGGAGAAAAGAGGATGGGTTTACAAGTGGACTGGATGAGAGGGATGAAGGAAAGGGAAGAATCAAGGATGACTCATAGATTTCTGACTTGAGTAACTTGGGGACTGGGGTGGGAAACAAATTTGGAAGTGGAAGGGAGAGATTTTTGTTTTGTACTGTCAAGTTCGAGACACCTAAATGGAGAAGTCAAGTGGAGACGTCAAGTTATGATGTGAGTCTGGAGCCTGTGGGAGAGGTCATGGCCAGAGATTACAGCATGGGTGTCCTCAGCATCAAAATGAGAATGAAATCCCTGGGCTTGGGTGACATAATCCTAGGAGAGATTATGGACAAAGAAGAGATAAAAAAGGCCCAGGTAAGGGTGGTACTGAGATCTTGATATGGGATTACTGGCAGAGTTCAGAGTAGGGGAAATTTCATAACTTTCAAAAGCCCAGCAGATACCACTAAAAGCATTCTAGGCCTGTGCAGGTAACTAGTCAACTAGGATTCTTAATCTTAAGGTTCTGTGGTAGGAAGGTCACCTGAAAGGTATGTGTTCATGGCCTGTGGCTTATCCAGGAGCAGACACATTCCAGATTTGTGGCTAAGAGTACATAATTCTTACGCAAACAAAAACAAGGTATTAAAACAGGGGAATTTTCAAAATAGCTTCAGACTTTAATTATATTTACCATCATTCTGGAAGAAAAAAACATGTCAGCGTGTCCTTCCCCCCAACTCCCATAGCACCAAAACAAGATGCTGAAATGAATACACCCTACAGAAATGTGAGATGTGGAGTCGTATTCCAGGCAGGCTGAGTTAAGACCTGAGCTTCATCCCATTATTGTAGCAATACACCTTCAAGCCTCCTTCCAACTCAGGTGATTGGTCCAGCCCGGTGGATGAAGTACACAGCCTGAGCCACTTTCCTTGGAGAATTACGTGCAGAGACTCCCGCTGTGCATATCAGCAATCCAAGATCTTCAGTTTGTCCTTCCCCAAGATACCCCTTTTTTTGCTCCAAATTTAATCACAAGCTATCATCACTTCCTGAACAGTCCACAAATCTGACCCTCTAAGCATTATCCCTCCCCATATCATTCTCCCTGAAAATCCTTCCTCTCAGGAGTGCTACATGTCTTTTTAATTGGAGCAACTTCTTTCTTGACATCTTCAGCTCCGTGCTCCCCTACGTTCTTCCTTCTTACCTGTTCTGCCTCCACCCCCAAGAAAAAAGGGGCCCCCTTGGGACCCACTCTCCCTGGATTCCTGCATCAGTCTCCTGATTGTCTCCCTGTTTCTGCCCTTGACCCAGGGAGTGAGCCTATTAAAATGTAAGTCAGATCAGCCTCTGCTCTAAACTAAACCCTCCAGGACTTCCTGTCTGGTGCAGGGGAAAAATTAAGGTCCCATGCTGACCTGGACCACCCCTGTGTCCTGTCTGGCTACACCTTTGCCATTCAGGCTCCATTTTCTGTGCTTCAGCCACACCAGCTTCTTCGCTGTTCCTTGACAATGCCTAGCATGTTGCCGCTTCCAAACCTTTGCACTTGCCTGTTCCCTCCTATGGGAACACTCTTTTCCTAGACGGTGGTGTGTCTTGCTTCCTCATTTCTTTCAGCTTGTTGTTCTAATGCCATCTCATCAAGGGAGTTCTTCTCTGAACAATCTACCTAAAATAGCAGTCCCCAGCCACTCCTTTCACCCTTACCCTGCTTAATATTGTGTTCTTCGTATTCACCACCTGATACACATTTGTTTTTTCCTTCTTCTAGAATGTCCATGAGAACTGGGACCATACTAACTGCAGTATCTTCAGAGTCTAGTAAGGTGTCTACCACATAGTAGGTGCTCAATAAATATTTTTTGAAGGAATGAAGAATCCCCTCTACTTAAACAGGGCAAAAAATAGAAGTTGGGGCAGATTATAAGAATGAATTGCCTCTCTCCTGACACTGTTAGTGTCTTGGTCCTAAGGGAGGAAGGTTTTCTGGGACATGGGACCAGTCCTAATACATCAACTGCCCCAAATGGGATTTCAGATATAGCACAAAGTCCCAATGAAGAGCATTAAACCCTTTACTCTATGTGTGTGTGTTTTAAAATCAAACATAGAAATCATTTGTCATTGATAATAGCAAATAGTTCAAACAGGAGAGCATGGATTTATAGTTCAGTTGGATTAGTTTGAAGATGATCAGAGTGATCCCTTATATCATACCGAAAAGAGCTTTTAGATGACCAGATTAAAATCTCCCAGACCTAATGTTCAGTTGAACATAGAGTTTCCTTTCCCTAAGACAGAAGCACATGTCTGAGATGGAGGACTCTCAACTCCTCATGCATAGATCGAAACTTTGTGCTGGGCTACGATGGAGAAAGCACCCATCCAGCATCCCAGCTTGTGGGAACGCTTGGCCCAGTTGGCCCCTTGACTTAGAGCTCATTCTGAATGCCCAGGGACATAGGATTTCTGGGAAAATGGCCGGAACCACCTAAGACAGAAGCACATGTCTGAGATGGAGGACTCTCAACTCCTCATGCATAGATCGAAACCTTGTGCTGGGCTACGATGGAGAAAGCACCCATCCAGCATCCCAGCTTGTGGGAACGCTTGGCCCAGTTGGCCCCTTGACTTAGACCTCATTCTGAATGCCCAGGGACATAGGATTTCTGGGAAAATGGCCGGAACCATGGGAAGCTGGATGAGCAACCGGAAGATGCCGTTGAATGAGATAGGGAAAGCAGAAGGATTGCAGCAGCAGTGGGGAATATCAGATTTCACTTTGGCTGTGTTAGTGGTGATACTGAATAGGCTTTAGGATATAAAATAAACACTGAATTTGGCGAAGCTGGAAGTAGGAGGTAGCCTATGGTAGCCATTGGGAAGAACGGGGCAGGGTCTAATCAATAACCGTGACCAGAGCTACTGAGGTTTCCTTGAGTCCTGACTGTGTTACTGTGTCTTAGGACCCTCCCAGGCTACCTGGAGTATATCACCTCCTGGGGAGGGACAGAGCACCCTTCAATTCAATGACTTTTCATTGAGTTTCTGCTGTATGTAATCAGGGAACTGTGCAAGACTGGTTAGAACCACAGTTAACTACCCAGCTTAAAACCCTTCAGAGGTTTCCCACTACTCTTGGGATGAAGACCAACCCCTGGCCCTTCCTGACAGGCCTTTTTGTGCTCACACTGTCTGCGTTCTGCCATTTTCAGTTCCTTCAACGTGTCATGCACTTTCCTGTTCTCTTTGTCTGGAGTGCTCCTCCGCCCCTCACTTCTGACTGCCAGTCATCTTTCCTATCTCATCTTAAAGGTGACTTCCTCAAACAAGACTTCCCTTTTCACCCAGCCACCTTTAATGCATGTTTAGAGAAAGTCCCCTTCTGAAGTTTACCATAACTGCAATTAAGGGATCATCTAATTAGTCCTTTGAAGTTTGCCTTCCTTGCCAGAGGCAGGGGTAGCATTTTCCTTGTACATTGCTGTGTTTCCTGTTACCTGCTCAGTAACCCAAGCACCAGCAGCATGAGGCCAGGGCCAGGTTGGGTGAAGCAGGCTGTGGAGTGATGGATAGACAGAAGTTATCAGTGGGGGCTGGAGCCATCTCCAAAGATCCCTGGAAGAGGCTAGACTTTGGGTCTTACAGAGGGGAAGATTTGGAAGGCAGAGAGGACAGGCATTTCTGTTGCAGAATTCATTTAAACAGAGGTGGAAAGAGCCCTGGCTTGGAATGAGGAAAGTCAGAATCTCAGCCCATCTTCTGGGTGACTGGGGGCACGTTATTTTCCCTCTCTGGACCTTTACAGATCTCCCATCTGTAAAATGAGAGGCTGGTTTATCAAGAATTACAAATATTAGCACCATGACACTATTCCTCCATTTCTTCCCCTGGCAAGCATCTCTCTTCCCTGGGAGCCTGAATACAGCTTCAGTATTGTCTTCAACACAATGTTCTAGGCAGCCATTAACAATTGATAGGAGATGGTAATTGAGATAAGCCCTGTTTGTTGGGCTTGGCTTGGATGAAGATATGTTGGATGACGTCAGGCCCTGGCACTGTCTGATTCAGTGAACGTGTGACAGGAGGACTGAGCGAGGTATCTGACCACTGCTGGTGGGGAAGAAAGCTCTACTGAAGCAGAGAGCTCAGTGGCACCAAACACCGTCATCAGAAAGGACATGAAGATGTTCTAGCTCAAGGGTGGTTGTCAGGGGCCAGTGGATATTGCAAATGAGAGAAGCGGACCAGGGGGATAAAGTAGGGAACGGTGAGGAGTGTGGCAAACTAGAGAAATGGGAGTGCTTATTTTGTCTAAAAGGATTCAAAATATCCCTTCTACTCCTCTTCTCCTTCCTCTTCCTTACTGTATGAGTCAAACAAAAACAGTCTTTTGGCTGAAAATTTCTCCTGTGATCTCTGATTCCTACCAGCTTTATTGGAGAATCTAGATCTAGAGGGGATGAATGTTGCCTAAGCTCACACTGCAAGCCAGGCCTGTTGATTCCCATCATGTTGTTTCCTACTGCAGTGAGGTCATGAAGCCTGGGAAACAGGACAAGGACGGACTAAGGAAGAACAGGAGTGCGTCGAGGCTTAGGTTTTTAAAAGGTGTTCATTTTATTCTGGGTGATTGTGTCAAGGAAAGGGGTGTCCTGTTTACTACTACTGAAAGTAATCAGTCTTATGACTACTTTTATGTACTCATTGGTTTAAATTCCCCAGATCTTCAGAAACGTCACTTTGCACTGGGGAAATTTGTGTCATGATTAAACACACACACACACACACACACACCCCTTCTCCTTTCTCAGTATTAATCACCTTTTCCCATAATTAGTACTTTAGATGTCAAAGGAGAAGGAATTAATTAACAGGAGTATCCAGAGCAGCAAGGCACGCTGCAAGGCTCTGGGACTGATTATAAAAAGCACTTCCTTAAATATTATGAGCACTTTTGGGAATCAGAAACCTCCCTCTAATTGAAAGATCCTTAACTACACCTCAAAGTCCTGGCTGGTGGCCAGGGTGCAGGGCTGAGTGAGGCGGCGTGTGGAAATCCCTTCCTCACCACCCCTAGGAGACCTTCCTCCAAACTGGGATAGGTGGCAACAGAGGTCAGAAACAGCAGGGGTCCCAGGCCGAATCTGAAGGGGAGGAAGAGATTTATCCTTCACTAAGCTCCTACAGCGCGTCCGGAACTTTAATATGTCATTTCGCAACAATCCTGTGAGACAGGTGAGATTATTATTTCCATTTTACAGATGAGGAAATTGAGGCTCAGTGTGGTTGTGAGTTCCCCATTTCACGCGGCGACTAACTGAAAGCGCAAAGGAGTCAAACTTAGGTCTGATTCTAAGGCTTTGCTCTTTTATGGAATCCTGGCATCCTACTCGCAGCTCTCGTCTGGACTGTTCCCCATCCCAGTCCCAAACTCTTTAAGAGTCTTCAGTTTTGACAGCTAAGGCGAGAGCCAAGAGCAGAGGAGCAGAGGTGGAACTGGGAGAAGCACGGCGGCCGGCCCCGGCTCCAGTGTCAGCCAATGATAACGCGGCACCCACCGGCTTCCGTCCAATCAGCCTGAGCTCCCCGCCCCCATCCCACTCTTCTCCGCCCCTCCCGTCCGCTTTCCTTTTGGCTCCACCGAGCTTGACGGAGCGGAAAGTCCCTTCAGCCGGTGCCGGACCTGCAGTCATTGGGGGAAGGTCTGTCACAGGGAGGCCCAATCGGGGCACGAGCAGAAACGCATCTCTGGCTGCGATTGGTTGGCGAGGCGGTTGCTCCCCTCGCCCCCGTTCCCTCCCTCCCCCGTGAGCGGCTCGGAGGCGGGGCAGGTGGGGGCGGGCCCAGGTAGCAGGTTCGGTTGCGCGGGGGCCGCGCGTCGGAGGTAAATACTAGGGAGGTGGATGTGGGGCGCCAGGGCCGGCCCGGGACACGGGCTAGGGAGGCTGGGCAAGGGGTGACGCCCCGCCGCCCGAGGTGAGTGAGCGAGCGAGCGAGCGGCCGGCCGGCC